GTGTCTCTTCATGACTCCACATCTCATCTCCATTGTTAGATCTCACTTTAAGCTACTATGAACTACTGAAGAAATTATTCTCTGAGTATCCCAGAGCTCCAGGCAGAAGCACTTGAAGTAATTTAAGTCACCCCCTTCCCATTCACTTGCCTTGTGCCATTCTGCAGGTCAAAGCCTCATTTCCTCATTCACCACCTGAGGACTGCATTAATAATGTCCTTGCCACCTCTTGGGAAGATTAGCCAGTGTCCAGAGCCTGGTGAGCAGCAGGCCTAGGAACAGGGGGCTGCTCATCCACATAATATGTGAGTCATGCAGGCTCAAGAGCTTCCTAAGCTGCAGGGGCTTTACCTGGGGCTAAGACTCACCTGTCTCCCTTTCCTCTCCTATCTTCCTTGGTCACATTCATCTGTCATTTCCCCCACTGCACCCCAACTTGGTTGTTCAATGCTGTCTTCCTTTCTAGATTTAACTTTTTAAATAGGTAATCCCACAAAACAGTTAAAAATTTTCTTCCTTGCACTCCTGACTCCATCAAACCCAGTTCCTCAGCACATGAGCACCCACTGGTTTTTGCTCCTTGCATAGCTTTCCAGAGATTATTCATGCATACACATTCCACATGTGCAAATGTATGGGTAATTGGAGGTTTTTTTGCTCATGTTATAACACACAGGCTTATTAAAGGGACATTCCTGTTCGTGTGGGAAGAGCCCTTTGATTAGTCAGAATCTCTTAAAAGGTGAGCCCAGAACTGGGGGATATTTTTGCATCACATTCCTTTTGAATAAGGTGTTTTTTATTTGATGTTTACATACTGGAACTATATAGTTTCTTATGTGAATCAGCAACTGCAATCCTTCCCTTAAAGCCAATGGTCCAGCTAATTCAAGAGCACTAGTTTTCAGATAGTCTTCCTGTTGTGTGAGATCAGTGCAGGCTCAAGCAAGACCAGCTCCTCAGCCCCAAGCTGTATGTGCAGTGTGCCCCAACCCCATCTGGTTTGTTTAGTGTTGTCTGCCTGTAATTGCCATTGTTTCTTAAAGAGTGCCAGTGTCTCAGAGGAAGGAGTTTGAAAAGAAACTAAAGGTTTATCTTGTAGTGCAGATGTCTCTGCCTCTACCAGTCAGCTGGCTGCTACGTCTGAATGTCCATAAGCAAGTTCCAGATTGGCTTCCTTTTCTTTTCATCTTCATCTAAGTACTCAGAGGCAAATGTTTCCTAGAGAATTTCCCCTCACCCAACCACTTTTCCATTCGGCGTAAGAAATTATCGTAATCTTTTCATTTTTGCCCTTGAAGGAGATGAAAGTTGAAGCTGCTTCCTCCAGGCACCCCTGGGGGAGGGTAGACTTGTGCCTCACTCACCAACAGCCACCCAGTGCCTCTCATCAGCCTTGATGGTATCTGTCTGCCTACTGACCCAAGCAGCATCACTGTTTTAAAGTGCAACTAGGCCCACTCTAACCTGAACTTTGATTAGAAATTTTGTGGTAAACTCCACCCTTCAGGCACTTGTGGAATATCTGGCTTTGGTTAGTGTCTTTCCCTGTTAGGAATTCCTTAAGTAATAGAGTTTCTAAACTCAATGTAAATTCTGAAAACTGCATGTGATAACTGGAAAACACCAGATTATAGCGCTTTAGTAAGATGAACAAGATCCTATGTGCCATGGATTGTGCTTCCAATTGAGGGGAAATTGTTCAGTAATTCCCGTTCAGCTTTACAGCCCAAGATGTTCCAAGATGCAAAGCACTTAATTCCACTTTTAAATGAAGCATCTACACTTCTGGCTTTCCAATCTAGTCCTCATGCCTGTGGCCACAGGGTCAGGGAGACCACCCGTGCTGCTTTATAGACATGGTGTAACCTAGAATGTGGGCCCCACCAATGTCAAGAGACTTCTGTTTGTGCTTTGACAGTTTCCCAGCACCCTAGGCCAGTTCCAGCCTCGCAGGTCTGTTTGAGGCCTGCTGTGTACCATTAGTCTCCGTCCACGTTCCTCCCTCCCTTGCACAGCTCGGTGGATGGGGTAGGGTGCCCAGCATTAATAAGTCCCTCCTGGTGACAGCCTGGTCTTCCAAGAGAACGCTGCTGGTAACTTGTCTCTAGGTCTCTTGACAGATCATTGCCGGGAAGGGGGCACTTTAGTCTTGCAGTTTAGCCCTTTGGGGCTTATTCACTAGATATTGTATAACTCCCTCAAAAATAAGGTTTATGAAATGCTGAACCTCAGTTTTCATAGACGTGTTTGTACACTAAGAATTCTGCAGCAGAATATTTTTAAACATCCGCAGTTTTTTGTAAGGTATATTTTTGTATATTTAATTGCTATTTTAAAATTTTAATGCATTTTTTGCTAATCACTTGTTTAAAAACAAAACATGCATGTAATTGACTGAAACACATGTAAATAAACAGCAGGTTTTGAAAATACTTAGTGTTCCAGTGTGTGCCTTTCAACTCAAGAGTAGTTGCCTGGGTAGTTAAGACTTGAAAATACAAAGGGAAAGGTTCTGCTCAAGCAGAGGGGGTAGGTGCTGATGCCTCTGGCCTGTCCACTTCTGTAACAGGCATAATGGTGAGAATGGTAGGCTTCAAATGGAGATTACAGTGGAAGTCCAGGCCTTACCAACCACCCTGGCCTCAATTGTACAGGCACATGTTGACAATCTCCCAACTGTGAACTCAGGGTGGACTGAAGTAGCAGGACTTAGCTTTTTCCACGTTCAGCCCACATGACCCTAAGGACTCACCCCCAAACCAACCCTCTTGCTATATATCCCAGACCTTAAAGTATTTGTTTTGAAGAGAAGTCTTGGTCCAAAGTCCTCTAGGCCAGTGCTACTCTCCTCGCTCCTCACTAGGACATCTGCAGCTTAGCTTCAGTCTGGTGGCTTCAGGAAAACTTGTTCTGAGGCCATTCATGACCTTGCAGTGGAATCTGGACAGCCTCATCCATTCTCCACCAGGAACCTGAAGACCTGCCCTTAGTCTGAGCCATAGGCCTCTATGAATAGCTTGTTTTGTCTCTTATTCCTTCACTGCCCATTTCATTACTATTATTTTTTTCATGCTCTTGGAATTCACAAAATCCCCTTGCTTTTCCCATCTGCATGTGCATTACCTGACCTAAAAACTCAGGTGCCTATTTGACAGTCCAAAATCAAACATAGGTGCCCTTACGCCCTCATCTCCCTACACCCTGCCACCTCCTACCCCTGACCAGCCACCCTCCTCCTATCAGTTCAGACTATATATTTTTCTCTGCACCATAGCCACATACTGCTTCTTCTGGCATTAGGATAAGGTGAGACACTCAGGCCACCAGGTGGAAAGCAGACTAGGACAACCACTGAGAGCAGACAGGATGTTGGCCATGGTGACCACCCAGAGTGCACCTTATGGGCTGGAGGTGGTGAGATGGCAGTAAGCTTGGATAAGGATATGCATATCTGTAGGGATAGCGTGGAAGTCCACAGGTGGAGAGGAAATAGTGTCTAGGGCTTTAGTTTAAGGGCCAGGTCTGGGTGGGGTGCTGCCTTGAGGAGATCCAGGATTGTAGAGATGGCTTGAGGAGATCCAGGATTGTATCTGAGGACTGACACCATCTGTCATCAGAGAACAAGCTGGCAAAGACGGAAATAATCCACGAGGCAAAGAAGCAAGAGGAGCCTGCTAAGAGCTGACGCAGGTAAGATCCTGAAACATCCATTAGATTTGTAACTTTAGGTTCACTGGTAGCCTATCAAAAACACTCCCATGGAATGACAGAGTGGGCTGAACACAAGGTAAAAAGTGAAGAAAAACAGCTTCTCAAGAGAGGAGCAGTGGGTTGAAGGAAGGCCAACGAGACATTCACAGCTCATACTCTGGATCCAGACAGATCTGGGCTTGATTCCAGTTCTGCCCATTACCAGCTGTGTGACCTTGGGTATATTTGCTCTTCTGGGCTTCAATTTCCTTCTGTGTTATACTGTAGGAATAGCCAGGGCCGAGGAGGCTGCCCATGTGGAACACTGTCATAACCTCATGTGCTACATGAGATGGAAGTTCACAGGAATAATCTGCCCAGCAGAGCACGAAAGCCAAGGGCCCATAAGCTGAGAAATCCCCACCTCCAGTCCCAGTACAAGTGGGTAGATGGTGGTGGTGGTTTTGGTAACAAGGAGAAAGTGCAGCCAACAAGCAGACAACTGAGAGTGGAAGACCTAGAGATGAGCAGCTGCAATAAGGGTGAACTGCCATCCCAGCAGCATTCCTCTTACTCTGCTGCAGGAGGCCCCAGCCCAGCTGGACCCACACTCTAAATGTGTCAAGGCACATGCATAAAGGCACATGTCCCTCGGGGAAAAAGCTATGGGACACCCTGCGTGAGCCAGCCCTCTGCTGCCATCACACAGCCCACACCCAATCTTGCGCCCTACTCACCCTTCCCTTCAACCCCAGAAAGAAACTGAGCTACATGTGGAGATCACAGAACAGAGAGGGTCTTAAGACCTTCCTTCTGGTTATAAGGCTGCTTTATACCAGACCTTTCCTTGCCTTCAACTATGATTCCCACATCACTTGGCACATTAGATATAAAAGCTGCGCTGTCTCCAAGGGGAAGGCTTCTTAAATTATTCTGCACAGCAGAAAGAAAAGGTCCAGCCCTTAGCAAGACACTCAAGTAGTCTGAAACCCCTAAGCACCAGAGGCTCCCACAGTTAATCAGCAGACACCTCAATTCCTCATCTGCTACTCAGCCTGAAAGGATACTCTCTACATGGCCCCTTGAAGAGCCATCAATTCCAGAGGCTCTTTGGTGTCACACTGCCAGCCTCTGCTTTTTCCACTAGCTCACCCATTTTGGTCAGGTCATTATGCCCCCTACCCTAAGGAATTCTGCCAGCAGTTTTCTCCTTCCATACAGATCTTGTCATGATTTAGAGAAGTAACACAGAGCTGCCCTTCTAAAAGTTGCTTTTTCAGTTTCAGGAACAGAATTAACCAACCCAATTAAGTTTTTAGAAGCTTAAACTATTTTTCAATATGTACACACACAGGCTAAATGCAAACCAGAGTAATGCACAGGTGATCTCTAAGGCCATACTGAGAAAACAGTGATTAGATTATCACACACAGCAGCCTATCTTGCATATAGCAAGTCAAAACAGGATGCACAACCACAGCCAGCTCAACGCGGGACAGCTCTTCCAAGGCGTCTGCAGTGAGTTATGCCGAGATTTACAAAAACACCATAGGTGAAACAGCGCTACCCTGAAAGGCAACTTAAACACAGCAATCCTCACACTGCCTGAACATGGTCCACTTGTTTTTTAATGCATTTTTCCTTACTGGTTGCTAGTTTAGACTGAATTTTTTAAGGATTTATCTTGATGACTTAGAAAAATACACATCATTTCTCGCTTTGATTCGGGTAGTACACGATCATAAAACTGAGTAAGTCTTTTAAAATACAAAAGTCCAAAGATCCCATTGTCGAAATTTCCAGGACGCCCTCCCAGGTAACAATCAGGGAATCTTCAACAGCTCCAGGAGTGCTCCAACAGCTCCAAAATAACCCTGAAAAACAATACAGCAAAAATAAGAGCAATTTTCCTTTGATTTATTTCAACTACCACAAATACAATTACTAGTATTAAAATCAACATCACCCTAAACTCCTGAGCACTAGCAGCAGGCCCAAGACCAGTCTGGGAACAGGAAAGGCCTGAGGAGCTCCCTAGCCAGGGAGGGGGTGGAGGTACAAGACACCCCACACACGTCAGACCACTGTGTAATAACACCAGCCCAGCCAGGAGCAGTGGTAATCCTAGTGACTCAGGAGGTTGAGGCAAGAGGATCGCAAGTTCAAGACCAGCCTCAGCAACATAGAGACCCTGTCTCAAAACAAAAAATAAAAAGGGCTGGGGATGTAGAGTGGTAACGCACCTCTGAGTTGAATCCCCAATACATCACCACTAACACCACCACCCCCAAAAAAGAAAAATCAAACCCACGATGGGTATTCCAGGAGCAGTGGTAGAGCCAACAGCAGCTCAGTTATTCTGGTAAAAGATGATACCTGGATTGTCCTGAAGAAAGAAGTGAGAACCAGCTGAGGCCTGGCACATTTTTCAGACAAGTAATGAATGAAGATGATAGGATGTGTCACAGCTGAGGGCCTGCCTGGCTGAAGGTGGAAGGATGAGGAGGAAGTAGAACAAATTCAAGGTGCATCTAAAGGAGGGGATGAGGGCAGCAGGGAAAATCTGAGAACACCAACCCTGAGATTGGGAACACAGGAGCATGAAATGTGGAGAACAAGGCAGGTAGGTTTCCTACAGAATGCCAAAGGAGCAGCTGTGCCCAGCAGTCAATGGATCCACTAGACCAGAGCAGGAAGCACAGGAGTAGACAGCAATGAGGGAGGACTGAGAAGCAGCAGCTGAAAGAGAACCCCAAATCCAAACAAAAAGGATATAAAATGTTAAAGAAAGTGGTACAAAATCCACACTGACAAGAATGCCAGCAGGAATCAGACAAGAAACCCACAATGTTACAGAATCCATCAAGGTCTCTAAGAGCATGAGATCAAGTATTGAAGAACTTTAAAAAAGAAACAACTAAAAAAGGAATGTGGGAAGATCCTGAACAATTTGACTGTGAATTTCAAAGATATTAAAAATGTCTAAAATATCCTTAATAGTGAGGTTTAGTCTTTCAAGAAAAACTAGCTCACATATATATCTAAAAAGAACAAATAAAAAATTAACACACACACACACACACACACACACACACACACGAGCTAGCTCAAGAAACGTGATGAAACAGCAGCAAGGCTGAAGCCTGCCCTATTACTCTATTTCTCAGTTTTTCAAAAAGGCAGTCACATCCATTTTTGTTAACTAGAAGGCCAGAATTATAAAGGTGACACAGCCAAGAGACAGCAATGCTTGGGAACTCTGCCAGAGAACAGACATAGGTGTCATCTTATACCAACAGCACATATTGCTGTATGTAGCTTCCAGTGTCTGTGCTTTATTTTACAATTTAAATAAATAAATAAATAAGAGTTAACCACAGAAGACCCAGAAGCTACTATAAAATAAAGACAGGCTATTGTAGACCAAGAAGTGCTGGGATGACAATGGTAAAGGATGAGAGAAGGAAGGCTTGAGAAGAATGCACACACAGCTTTAAAACTGTTAAACCAACTGCTTTGCTGTGGTGGGGCAGGAGAACACTTCAAGATCAAAATTCCACAAGGGCAGTGATCAACACTAGAGTAAGAGTCCTGATCACAAATGGAGAACACGGGGACAAACACTGCAACAATGCTAACCAGAGGGAAAAATGATGTCAGCAGGCAGGAAAGATGACAAACTGTAGACACATGAAGGTTTAAAAAGATTTCTAACTACAGCTGGGTGCAGTGGCACATGCCTATAATCCCAGCACCTCAGGAGACTGAGGCAGGAGGATCACAAGTTCAAAGCCAGCCTCAGCAACTTAAGGAAACCCTATCTCTAAATGGGGAGTCTGAGGATGTGGCTCAGTGGGTTAAGTGCCCTTGGTTCAATCCCTGATACAAAAAAAAAAAAAGATTTATAATTACAGGTTGCACATCCCCTACTCAAAATGCTTGGGCCTAGAAGTGGTCTAAAATATTCACAGACTTTACCAGTTGGAGCATGCTTAATTCAAAAATCTAAAATCCAAAAATGCTCATCGGCATTCAAACAGTTTCTTATTTCAGCCAGATGTGATGGCACACACCTGTAATTCCAGCTACTTGGGAGGCTGAGGTAGGAGAATTGAAGTTTGAGACCAGCCTGGGCAATTTAGCAAGACCCTATCTCAAAATAAAAAAGAGGTAGAGATGGGCTGAGGTTGTAGCTCAGTGGTAGAGCACATGTGAGGCATTTGGTTCGATTTTCAGCACCATATATAAATAAATAAAATAAAGATCCATTGGCAATAATTTATATATATATACAGGTGGGGTGGAGATGCAGTTCAGTAATACAGCACCTCTGGGTTCAAATCCCCTGTGCAAAAACAGTTTCAGATTTCAAATTTCATAACTAGAGATACTCAACTATTATTATGATATGAAGGTGTAAGTTTAAAAAAGGCTAAGAAACTAATCTCTTAAGTTCTACCTAGGAAAATTTCAAAAAGAGTAAAAATAATACAGGAGGAAATTAATACTATCACGTAACATAAATAAAGTTTATTTTTATTCTCTAACAAAGTAAAATAAAACAGGTCAAGGATAATAAAAGCAAAATTCACAAAACTTATGAACTATATGAAACTTATGGCCAAATTCTGTATTGATTTACTAATATAAAAAAATTAGATGACTTTGGGCTTTGATAATGCTTTTTGATATGGGGACTCTATGTAGTTGGGATTTTAACTATGAACTTGAACAATTTAAAAAAAAAACTTATAACAACTTTAAAGGAAAAAAATAATTTTTACTTACAGCATCTCAAATCCTACTTTGATTTCTGTCAATCCATGTAAACACTTAAAATAAATACCCACATACAATTCTGAAAAATGTTCATGGTAGTACTACCTGAACTCCAACAACACTTAATAGTTCAACTGCCCAACAACCAAACATAGAAAAGAGAGAAACTCTTCTACAGCTTTGGTCCCATTTTTTTCCCAAACAGTAAAAAAGGGCACTTTCCAAGATAGGATATCAGGTTGAACAATTTAATGATTCCTCTCCACTTTGTCATTTCTAGCCTGTCTACGTGTTCTTACAATAATGTGGTTCTAGTCTAGAATGTTTTTTCACTGATCCATTCAGTTTTAGAATATACATCTTAAATAGTACATGAATTTTATATCAATACATAATAACTGACATCAAAAAAGTGAAAAAAGTAAAAACCTAGAACAACTGCGTTTTCAGAGTCAGTGCAATGAGAAAAAATAAAGATTGTTTTAAAAAGAATACAGGATAGCTCAGCACTTGCCTAGCATGTGCAGGCTCTGAGTTTGATCCCCAGCACCATGACAACAACAACAAAAAAATTATTTTCTTTAAAATTGCTTAAACTTACAATTAAAATAGCCAAAAATCTACTTTGTACTATATATCAGATTTTTTAAGAAAGCTTTCAAACATTACAAAGTTAAACTCCACCTCATACAATTACAAAAAAAAAAAAAAAAACAGAAATACTGCAACCCAGTTCACCTGTCCTTCAAATGTTCTACTACAACTGTGCACTTTTGTATATATGACACATCACCAGAAACAAATCCACTTACCTCATGTTCTGAAAAAAGTGCTTTCAACTGTCCCTTGGACCAATAATCCAAAGCATATGCCAAAAGTCGCATGGCGATCGTATTAATTCTCAAGAAATTTCCAACAAATACCACCTGGTTAATGTTCTGAGCACATCAAAAAAAGGCAATTAGTTTGCATCTTAATTTCTGTTTTCTCATAAAAGTTACCCCAACAGAGGACCATGCAGCAACTTGACTGATGATCAAATTTATTCCATTTGGTCCAAGACATCTGAAATTTTAATTCCCAAACAACTCTGGACCCACTGCAAAAGCATGCCCAAAAATGTCACAGAAGAAGAAATCAGATTAGGAAAGACATTCGTATTAAATATGACAAATGACAACTAATTTTAAGTAAATTTGTTACACAATTAAAAACTATAACCCAATTCAAAAAGAGCAAAGCGACACAAATAGGCAGATCACACAAGATATGCAAGTTGGAAAAATTCATCTTCACTAATTATCAAAGAAAGCAAAATTATAGAACTATTAACAAAAAAAAAAATACCTGAAATTCTACCCCCAACATTAGTAAAACTGCATTACAATGGATCCATTAATTCATTGCTAAAGATGATCTAAAGGGGCGCAGTGTGTGTGTAAAGTATCACAGCAATATGCACCAAGATTCATAAGATGGTCATACTCTTAAGACCTGAAGTCTCACTCCTGAGTAAGTCCCATATCAAGAATAAAGCTGAGCCAAAGAGTAGTTTCACACTTAAAACTGCTTACTGAAGAGTTATCACTGGCAAGCAACCAAATATCCAGCATGTGAAATGCCAAAGTTATGTGAATAATCCATGACACAGATGAACCCAATCAAATATGCAACCAAGAAATGTATAATACTTAAGTAAAATATATGAAATGGTATGTATGCTAGCTACCTTAAAATACATAAGCACAGGAAAGGAAACATGCAATAAAGAAAAAAGTGTTATATTAAAATGAAGAAATTTAATTATTTGATCCCATCCAAATTTTTTTTATTTAAAAATGAGAAAAATCCTTCTATCTTCTGAGGTTTCCTCTTAAGCTGCATGACTGTATTATCTAAAGAATAACTTTAAACAAAAATGTATAAATAGGGACATCAAGCTGCACCAACTAGATCCTAAGTTCTCTTTCCCCAAGGGCAGCCCATTCTTGGTTCTTTCATAGCCCTGTACAATGCTGCTTGACCTGAATGCTACAAGGCAGCACTGTAAAGAAGCTGAAAGCACAAAGACGCAGCTCTGCTGAAGTAGAGGGGAGCCAGGGTGACATTCCTCTGCCTGCTCAGTCTTCTCCCAGCTTCAGTGACTTCTGTGGATTCCTTTCCTGAGCCTCTACTGCTCCCAATGAGCATGGAGTCTCGATTCAGCATCATCATTACCCATCACTGCCCACCTCCCCACTCCCCATCATCTCAACACTAGCTATCTTCCTAATTCCCTCTACTTTCTCCTCAAAAGGTCATTTTACCTAGACAGTAGCAGTGCTATCTTCAGTAAGAAGAAAAAATAAATCAGTGAAGATTAACCTGTATTAGAAGAAATCTTAACTTTGTACTGAATCAAAAGTCCACCACACAACTATATGTAGGCAATGTTCTAAGAAGAAAAAAGCTTAACGTCAAGGTGGGGCCACTTAGGAAGTTCAGTATTTTCCTTAGAGCAACATAAAAAACCCATGTTCCCTTACTTCATTAAGGGCACACATTCTTGCTATGGAGCCAATGTTGTTGGTGATGGTGATCAAAGTTGCTCTCGCGAGGTCCTCCTTACTGACAGCCTCTCGCTTCTCCTTGCTCATCATGTTTCCAAAGCTGTGATGGGAAAAAAATATCCCATTGCTAAACCAAAGGCAACACAGCCCAATGGAACTTCAATTTTACTTTACTAAGATAAAACGATTCTTTAGGGCAATACTGTTCACGTCTTCCAACTTCTTATCTCACAAATGATGAAGCACCTAAGGATCTGCTCAGAGAACTCAGCTTCAAATAGAGCCCACAAGCATTCTAAATGAACAGGCAGCTTTCCCTGTGATGTCTACCAACACCCAGCTTTGACACCCAGATAATCCCACGGAAGGCAGCACCCTTTCTGCCATCACAGACAGTTCTATCAGCAATCCATCCCAAACACATAGCTGTTCTACTCAGATGCTCACATTTACATTTAGTAAACTACTTTATCAAAGCAAAGCAAAGTGCAGGGAGCTGAGTCTAAAATGAGTGTCAAGTTAATTTCTTGACCATAAGAATTGCTGCTTGATCAGAACAAAAACCTAGGCAATCAGAAAAAGAAAGTCAGGACCAATGAGCAAATACTGCAAACAAAATAAAATCTATGGCACTAAGCGCCTAAAATTAGTGAACAACATGTATAAATGAGTGTCTCTTCTATTAAAATCCATGTGCCTAAATATACAATTGAATTGCTACACAATCTCAAAACAATTCCATATATAATAACAAAGAGAATAAATCACTCAGGGAACATTTAAGGAAAGTATAATGGTAGCCAGGAGCCGTGCACACGCCTGTAATCCCAAAAGCTTGGGAGGCTGAGAAAGGAGGATTGCAGATTCAAGGCCAGATTCATCAATTTAGCAGGGCCCTATGCAATTCAGCAAGATCCTGTCTCTTAAACAAAATATAAAAAAGGGGTGGGGGTGCAGCTCAGTGGTTAAGCGCCCTAGGGTTCAATCCCTGGTACAAAAAAAAAAGTAAATGCTTTTACACTGAAATCTATAAAACACTGTTGGAAAAAAAAGCAAAGACCTAAATAAATGGAACAATATTCCATCTTTCTGGACCAGAAGACCTTACAGTGTTAAGATGGTAATTCTCTGTAAAGTAGTCAATAGATTCAACTCAATCCTTATCAAAATCTAAGTTGTCTTCTTTGCAGATATTGCCTAATTGATCCCAAAATTCATACAGAAATTCAAGAAACCCAAAATAGCCAAAAAAGAACAAGTTAGAAGACTTGGTTTTCCTAATTTCAAAACTTAATACAAAGCTACAGTAACCAAGGCAGTGTGATACTGGCTTAAGGACAGACAGATTAGTGTCAAAGAACTAAGTCCAGAAATAAACCTAAACATCTATGGTCAATTGATTTTCTTTTTTTTCTCTCTCACTTTTTTTTTTTTTTCCCTTTTGGGACTGGATCAGGAATCCTTTATAATATAATTACTGGTTAATTGATTTTGGACAAAGGGACTAAAGACATTCAATAGGGAAAGAACACTCTTTACAACAAAAGGTGCTGGGACAACTAGATAGCAACACAATAAAGAAGAAAGGCATTTGGACCTTTACTTCTCACCATATATAAAAATTAATTCAAAGTGGGTAACAGACCTAAATATATGAACTGAAAATACAGAAGTAAACCTTCACAATCGTAGACAATGAATTCTTATCTATGACACTAAAAGCACAAGAGATGAGAGAGAAAACAAAGGTAGACTTTGCCAAAATTTGAAACTATGCTGCAAAGAACACCAAAGAAAAGATAATATAAAAGGAGAGAAAATATTTGCAAATTGAATCTCTAATAAGGAGCTTGTATTCAACATACAAACAACTCTTGTAATTCAATATTAAGATAAAAACAATAGAAAAAATTTTTTTTTTTTTTTTTTTT